CAGGCCAGGTGTCTCATATAGCAGCCCATGATCAAAAAACCCAAAACCCTGTCTTTAGCACCAGTCTCTTAGTCATTCGTTGACCTGTAAACTCTTCCTATTTACCTCCCCACCCATTCTTGCAGGAGGTATGGAGGCAAACACTACTTGTGCTCCAGACCCCTAACTAGCTGTCCCAGGGCCCTGAAGTCTCTCTTTATTGCCCTTAGATTTCTTGTAATAATTTCGTCACTGCCAACCTGAAAAATCATCAGCAGGTAGTAATCGGAGGAATCTACAGGATTAGGGAGTTTTCTTTTAATATCTCTAATCCGAGCCCCAGGGAGGCAACAGACCTCCCTGTGGGATGGGTCCGGTCGACAGATAGGGCCCTTCAGTTCCCCTCAGACGGGAGTCACCCACCACAATTACTCTTCTTTCCTTCTTGATTGAAGAAGTCCTACGGACTTGGGGTGACTGTCTACCTCTCCAACTTCATTTTCCTGTCCCTGAATTTCCAAGGCCTCATACCTGTTCTTCAAGGCCAATTGGAAGGGTGGAGGGGGTTGGGAGGACTTTATCTTGCCTCTCCGAGGTCGGACCTCCCTCCCTTCATGTCTCTTAAGCCCTCTCCTCCTGTCTGCTGACAGGAGGGGAGAGGATCCATCTCTTTCTCAACCTCTTCTATCTGCCTCTGCCTCAGGGTACGATCCCACCAATCTATTTCACTCTCACATTCTCTAATGGTTCTTAGTCTTGCAACCTCCTCTGTCAGTTTAACCACCTGTCTGAGGAGATCATTTACTTGCTCACACCGCACACATGCGGTGTCACCGGCTCCCTCCGCTACCAGTGCCCGGCTCAGGCATTCACTGCAGCCAGAGAACTGCACGGCTGCGTGCCTGCTTGAGCTCCGTCTGAGTCTCCACATTCTTTTTCAATATGGTTTTTGGGCATGTTGTGACCATGATATATCTAGCTAGTTTGCCTGTCTTGCTATAAGAACGCAACCAGTGTTCTCTGCTCCCTGCCTGCCCTCACACCTGCTCTCTGGAAGCTGCTGCCGCTCTCACCCCGCACTGCCGCGTGCTCGGAGGACGCTGCCAATGGCCGCTTTTAAACCTTGCCGCCGTTCACAGCCACTCCTGCCACATCAGCCTTCCTGTTCCTCTCAGGATTCCCGCTCAGACTCGGGTCCCCTGGCTCTGCCCCGGCTTCACCATCTCCGGGAAGCCTGGCTCCTTCTCAAACCCTCAGCAATCTAAAGGAACAGCTCTCTCCGGTGCCGGTGCCGCTCTCTGCTCCGCGCTGCCGCGTGCTCCATGCAAAATTCATGGGGTTAAAAGAAACAGAACTGTTGGATATGAGTCAAACACAAAGCGATATATTTTTGAGTACATCTACTGATGCAGTGTCTGTGATTTATCTACATGCAGGTAGATGCTACCTTGTAACCTGGGACAGGTAATATGAAAGACTTCACACACTTTCACCTCATCTCTAATACTTGCTTGGCCCCATAATCTAAGAGTTAAATCAGAGCTGATGAAAGCCTCGAATGCCTCATCACTCTGCTTCCTTTCTTGAGGATGGTCACATTTGTACATAGAGGGTAAACAATCAGTGGGTTTTGGGAGGTAAAAGGTCATCTCTTCCAAGAGACTAAGCCTTTTCTGACTGCTGAAAGGAGTTCCAGCATTCTGCTGTCTGTCTCTGCTTTAGGGGAAAAAGGTTTACTGGGGTTATTAGCTTTCGGGGAAAGGGTACTATACTGGGGTCATTAGGGCAGATACAATGGTGAATGTTTGTTCTGCTACCCCATATACAATTTGTGAAATCAGCACAGGACTGTTATGTTTAACAAAGTGTTCCAGGGTGGCTGTCAACAGTTACACAGACAGACTTTGCCTGAAATTTCTGTCTGTTCTATGTGAAAATCATCCTGGAATAATTTAACTGCCAAGCCTCAGAAAGCTTCCACCGCTCATGTGAGAGATGTGATTTTTTCCCCCGAGTATTTAGAATGTAACTGAACTTGTGTGAGTTTTCACAAGGAAAAACAAAGGTACAACTCTCTCTGCTGTTAACAAGTGAATGTAGGCAGTAACTAAGAATCTGTGCTTTCGCCCCTGACTGAAGAGAGGGGAGGTAGCTGTCAAAAAAGTGCAAAAGTTTTTCCATTTTCCTCGTGCCGCATTCCTTTCTTATGCTTCAGAAGTGGAGAAAGAAGCCACTAGTACTGAAACAAAAACAGGGTTAGGGCTGAATGTTGGAAGGAAATTAAGTGCAGGCTGATGCCAGAGGAGGACCATGTAGTTTTTTAATCTCTTAATTTTGCACCCTGTGTTTTTATGTGCTTTTCTTAGTTAGCCTCAGAAGCAGAAGTGATGCTAGTGTGGCAGGGTTAGTAGATCAGCTGTAGTGCTCCATGGAAATGGCTCTACTAATGGAGCTTGTGGGCATCTTTTCTCTACTGCCAGAGATGAGAAACAGCAGTATCTGACCCAACGTTTTGGTTCATGGGGTTAATGTGTATTTGTGGGTATGAAGGTGACTCATGCTTCAGCCTGGAAAGAGCACAACAATAAATTTCAAGAGTCTTTCTGGGAGTGGAAAAAAAAAAAAAAAGAGTAAGACTTAAGCAGATCCATGTACATGAAAACCCATAAAAGTAGGTATTGTGCTGACTGGCACTTAATGCAGTTGTTATGTCAGACTGCACTTTCTTTAGTAACTTCTCTAGTAATGAGAAAAGAGATTTGGCCAACAATTTACCCTATGTTCATCTTCCTGTCGCTTAAGCACAGAAACTTTCACCTTTAATCCCTATTAGGGTCATCTTAGTTTTGTTTGTTTAGGAAAAGTACAGAAATGGGATAGTCTTTGCTTTGGTGCCCTCTCGTGGTTTTTTGAATTGTCCGGGTTACACTTTTAACAAGTCTGCTACTATTGAATTAATAATTAATAATAAGTATGAGTTGTGTATAGGGTTATTCAGACAGCTTACAACATCCCATGCAACTTGTTTTTTGCTTTGAACTAGTACTTCTACGTATGTTGGACTTATTATCCAGAGACCCTTAGCTACCTTCAAGTAACTGAACCCAGTTATGTTCATGTTGTCATGTATATCAGTCTTAAGAGATTGTGGGAATGCTGCAGATAGAAAAGCTGGATGTTTGGGGAATATTTATGTTATGTTTAAAATGACTGGCTCATCTTTGTGTTCTTGTGCCTTGTCTGCACACCTATGTGAGAATGGCTAAAATTAGAGATGATACAAGGTAAAATGAGCAGATGTTAGAGATAAATCGGAAACAGCCACATATTTATGCCTTGCCTAGGTAAAAGTAAAGTATCATATACATGTTTGTGTTGATTTGTGGTAACCTCTATCCTATTAACTTCAATTTAGCACTTAATAATTTGGAGTTTGTAGGTAATTAGGAAAATCCTCTACATGACTTCATAATGTGTTTGTGATATCATTTGTCTACATGTACATTGGACTAATGTGCTGTATTTTGAAGTGATCATTGGGCAGTCTGGCTTATAATGTCAACCTTGACACATTTATTATTTTTTTTTGGGTGATTGGCTTTTCAAAAGATCCACCCAATGAAGCTGTCACTTATGTGAAAAAAAGATACAGGCTGTGGGTGACTTCATCTGAGCCGTGTAAATTTGCAGCTGGTGTTCTGCTTTAATAGTTTTCTACTTGAGTTCAGTTTTATTCATTATGTCAATTTTTTTGGTTGTTATTTTCTTCAGAAAAAAAACCCAAAACACCTGTTTAACCATTATAGAGATTTGTAATGGGGAAGGGATGATTTAGTTACTGGATTTTGCATCAAGTTTCTCTCAAGTGCAAGGGGTTGGTGTTGCTTGTCTCAACGGAATAGTGAAAAATATCTCTAACAGTTAGCTCTGTGTTTAATAAATGAATGCCTTAAGTCTTCTTCACTGCTCATGTCATTTTTTAAAAAGAAACAGGCAGTTGTTTGGGAACTGGAAGCTGCGTATGCTTAGTGTGAACAGCATCCAGTTAGGGTCATAAATATTTTGCTTTCCAAATGTGTTGGGCTGAGTCTGCTGCAACTCCTTGGCTGTTCTGAATCTTACCTTTGGGAACCAGGATCCCTTCCCTAGGGACTCAAGGGAACAAACCCTTACATTCCCACTTTCTGATAGTTGCTTTGAAATTTTGATTTTATTTTAAAATGGAATCAGTTCTAGGTTGTGTTTCAGATGCCAAATGTCAGATTTAATTTATCTGGGGTCTTTTGGGGATTGGTCATAAAAGACAGTGTGGGCAGAGCCTGTTAAGCTCTGGCTTAGCTCTTTGCAATTTATTAGAATTTGGAACAGCAAAAAGGCAAATATTTGAAATATTTTGGAGTGGGGGTGATTCAGCTATAGCCCTTACAATTGGAAAGAACAAGGAGTGCTGTTTTCTTAAGGGGCTAGGAAACAAAGTCTAAGAGGCAGGCTAAAGCTGATGTTGTGTGTTGATTTGATAATGTTCAACCCACAAACTTAGTGCTTGATGAGAAATAAACTTATCCAACATGAAGCAGGATCACTCAGAAGTTAGCATTTAAGACAATTTAGTACCAATGACATTTCTGTGTGTACAGATAATTTGTAATATCATAATTATCTGACCTCCTGCTAGGTTCTTACTAGACTACATTACAGTTTTTAATTTCTTTTTTTTTCTTAATTTATTTACAGCTTCCTTATTGTGCTGATATGCCTTATCTTCAGTGTGCTTTCTACAATAGAACAGTATGCAGCTCTTGCTACAGGGACATTATTTTGGATGGTATGTATGTGGATGTTAACATGATTGACATGTGTTTATTCTTACTGTGCAAATTCTATTCTGCTGAGCTGATACCATGTCAAACAAAATGTTCCTTATTGTTTAAATGACAAGAGGCTTTTCTATTTTTTCCTGATGAATCTGTAAACCTAAAGAAACACCAAAAGTCATGGTAGTATGAAACTCAGGTTGTACCCTATATGATCTATACTGAGGGTATCTATATTGTGTCCAATGCACAAGGCTGTTCTAATTAAGTTTGAATGCCTCATATTGCTCAGATTAATCCATTTTGCTGCCATACTGAAGTCCAGACATCTGACCATGGGAGGAGGGGAGAAAGGGGAAGTGTCCTGGCTTTTCATTGGTATCAAATACAACTTTCTTTCACAACTGTGAAGTACTTGTGTATTTCCATTGACTTTAAAGTTAAACAACTTGCTCTACATGCCTTATGCAAGTTCTCTTCAGTAGAGAAAATGTAGTTACCTTTTGTTTATAGTATACTCATTTGCTAATGTGCAACAGGTATGTACCAAATGTTGCAAGAGTATTACTGTCCTGCCAGCTTAGATTTCATTCGAGAGCCTTAGTTTTGAAGTTGGAGCAGCATGATTTAAAACATACAAAAAATTATAAACTTGTTGTACCTCAGTGGTGAGGTCCCCCCTGCTAAATCTTTGATTTCTGTATTTGTAAATGGATTACCATTATTTTACTTAAGAAAATGGTATCATTATTAACATGAAAATGTTTTTTTTTTCAATTTATCTATTCAATAAGCTAAGGCTTTATACCTAGTATGAATACTGTAAAAATATGGATATCGTGTATTAAACTTAGTGTCAATCATGTTTCCATGTAAGGTAACTTCATGCTTAATATAGTAATTTTAGAATAGACTAATTCTGTTGGAAGTGGCCTACAACAATAATCTAGTCCAACTGCCTGGCCATGTCAGGACTGACCAAAGTTAAAGCATATTTTTGAGAGCATTGTCCAAATGCCTCATGAACAGGCTTGGGGCACTGACCAGTAGGAAGCCTGTTTGAGTGTTTGACCACCCTCTCAGTAAAGGAATGGTTCCCAATGTCAAGTCTAAACCTCCCCTGCCAAAGTTTTGAACCATCCCCATGCTTCCTATCACTGGGTACCAGGGAGAAGAGCTCAGCACCTTCCTCTCCACTTCTCCTCAGGAAGCTGTAGAGAGCAACATGGTCACCCCTCAGCCTCTTTTTCCCCAGATTAGACAAGCCTAGGACATCCTTTACAGCTTTGTTGCTCTCCTCTAAGACGGCTGTTAAAATCCTTGAATGTGTTCAAATTGTGAGGCCCCGAGCTGCACACAGTGCTCAAGGTGAGGCTGTACCAATGCTCAGTACAGCTGGGTAATCACCTCTTCTGACCAGCTGGTCACACTGTGTTTGATGCACCCGAGGATGCAGTTCACCCTCCAGGCTGCCAGGGCAGGCTGCAGACTCCCTGAGCCTGCTGCTGGCCAGCACCCCCAGGTCCCTTTCTGCAGGGCTGCTCTCCAGCCACTCCTCTCCCAGTTTCCCAGCATTGCTCCTTTACAGGTGCAGAATCTGGTATTTGGGCTTGTTACATTTCACCCCATTACTCATAGCCCAGTGCTCCAATCTATCTAGATCTCTCTGCAAGGCCTCTTGTCCCTCCAGAGAGTCAGCAGCACCTCCCAGTTTGGTATCATCAGCAAACTGCTGATCCAGATCACTGATAAATCTATTGAACAGCCCTGGCCCTAGGACTGAACACTGAGAATTCCTCAGCTGTCCCCCTGCTGGGGGCAGGTGGCCAGCCAGGTGTAACCCAAATTTTTAACTAACTTACAAGATATTTGAACTCTTACGAGTAAGGTATAATTAGTTGGCAGCTAACAGAGTCTATACATGTATAGGTGTTTTTAATCCAGAACTAGTTATTGTGGATACTTTTGCCAGTTTCTGTGATGCAAGTTGCTTGTTGTAATACCTTGCTCATCTTTGCAATATGCCATAATATTTTGCATAGACACAGAGTTATTTCAGTGAATTAACTTCGGGGGACAACTTAACCAGGCATGTTTCATTTTTTTCCACCTGTGAAGTCATGGAACTCATTTGGTGTGTTTATACTGTATGTGTATATTGCATTTAGTGTAATATGTACTCAATGCTTTTAGGATTGCATGCAATGTATGTAATATCCAGTATGTGTTGAGTGTTCATATTATCTTGTTTTCCTAAGTGCTGTGAATCAGTGTTCCATATAATGAGAAAAAAAATAGTTAATTTTAACATTGAAATCCTACTATTATGGTTTCTTGGGAATTCAGCAGTTGTTTGTTTATTCAGTATTGGCATATTCTGATACTGTTTTCTTAAAGGATTAACTGTGGTAATTTTCAAGAAACTTAAGGGGATTAAAGTGATCCATCTGTCCAAAGCAGTAAATGGGCCAACATGTTCTCTGCTTTATCCAGCTTTGGTGGGACTTTCAAAGGAGTTCTGGCACCTTGCAACACAAATATAAATGTCAGAGTCTGGTTCCTCTTAGAGTCTACCCAGTAAAATTTCTTACTCTGTTCTTATTTTAATGTTTTACTTCCATTCTACTGCATCATTACAAGCTGTCAAAATTAGATGTAAGTGAATTCTTAAGGTGAAAGTTATTCACAGATAACTGGTTGAAGAGAAACTGTAAACTGCAGAGAAAGAAGTAAAAGTGTAGGAGTATACAGGGATTAAAAAAATAAAATGGGAAAAAACCTTCAAACCCTAATGGTTATGTAAGGAGACTTACTAAATCTTAGGAGAGCACCCTTTCTATGGCTTTGCAGTAGGAATTAATATTTCTTTTGTGTTTGGAGAGGGACTTGTAGCTATACCAAATTAATAGTTTTTATTCTGAGCCAGACAATGAAAGTAGGTAACATTGTTGTCATAAGTGAGCAAAGAAGAGCAAACAATGTACAAACTGAGTGAGAGAGACCTCAAAGGAGCTGCAGCATAGAACAGCCTACTGGGAGGAGTAATGGAATCTTCAAGGCTTTTCTGCTTGAGCTTAACAGGGATGGTGAGAGGGAGAAAATCTTCAGCTATGTGGAATTTGAGGTTTATGAGACCTCAAGTCATTCAATGAAACTAGAATTATACTGCCTGAGTATGTGCCCTGTGAGATTAAAATAAAGTAACACTTAAAGACCTTTCTTTCTTTTGAAGATTATAAAATTGAGTCCAGCTTTCCCTATCTGCATTCCAAAGGGAAAATACGTAGCTTTGTCCAAAAGCAGATTGCCTTTTATTTGAACACAATTTCCTATGTAGGGTAGAATTCTCTCTAAATGAGTTATGCTTTGTAGTGCATGAAATATAAGGCTGAGATAGTGGTATCAAATGTGCAGTGTCATGCTTTGAAATTTTGCCTGACTGGGGTTTGTGGACATGTATTTGGGCAGAGGGGAGGCTTTTACCAGGCAGCTGTAGGTCTGGCAATGCAAGATGCTCAATGTCTAGAAACGAGCACTCAGAGTTAACATGTGAGGATGCTGAGTTGAAGAGCCTCAAGGGGCAAGTCTGATCCAATGAGTTTACTGCTGATTCATCTTGAAAATGAGATGGAATAACTGTTAAAGCACATGTTTATGTGTGTTATCTGTAAATTATTGTTGGTACAGAATCTCTTCTACAGCCCATTTGTGAGTCACGTGGCATGGAAGATGCGCTTTAGCAAAAACACAGAATCTGTTCTTCCTGACTGAAAAACTATTCAAATAAGACCCTTGGAAACACTCATTATTAAGAGCTATACTGCTGTATTTCCTTGATGTAGCCAAAGTTTTTTGCTCTGATCCTGTGAAAGATCTAAGCACCTACAAAACTTCATCTGAGTGTCTTTTTGAAACCAGTGAGATTGGTTACAATAAAGTTACAGGTGGAAGCTGAGTGTACCATATTTTTAAACAACACTTTCATGCTTCAATAATATAGTCATATAAGATACTACAGTTATAAGAAAACAAGATCTAAAAAGGTTGTTGAGGTTATATGTATAAATTATTCATTTTTATTTTGTAGCTGCTTGTCTTACAAAATGACATCACGATGTTATGTTATCAATTGCTTTAAAGCATTTTAAAATGCTTCTATTTTCTCCTAACAATTAAAAAAAAGCAAGCTTACATTGGGAAAATAAACAAGGGAAAGTTTGTGTACCAAATAGTGTTCCAGTTTTAGACAAAAAGTTTACAATTAGCTGTTGAATCTTTCTTTACTTGTCACCACACTTCACAAGGCAAAGAGCCTTGATGAAAGCTATATCTAAATGCAGTTGTAATGGGAGATTAGGAGAGAATTGGCCTTTTGTTAGTTTCTAGAATGCAGTGAAAACTGTTTAAATTTGCATGTGTTTATTTAATTTTTTTTCACTAGATGGTGCTGTTGGGGGGGGATCGGCTCTAGTTAATAGTTGGCACTTGCCCAGCCTGAGCTGGAGTCTGAGCCAAGACTGTGAAAGGATCATCATTTTGAAGGGTATATGTACACTTGGCCCATTTAAAATAGTGGTGCGGGAGAGCTTGTGCTATGACTCATGAGAAGAATGTAGTGTATCTGTGTAAAAACTGATTCTGAGACTACAATATTTAAACTATGGAAAAAAGTAATTCAGAGATGTATGTTCCCAGAGAGGCCATATTTTTCTTTTGTTTTCATAAGCAAGGATTTTATGGTGCCAGAACACAGCAGAATGCTGTTATCTCAGCATGATCTAAGAAAATCCAAGTGCCTGATAATTAGTGTGCCTGAAAAAAAAATTTTCTTGTAGGAAACTGATTTCAATATTGAAAAAAAAAAAAAAAAAAAAAAAGGAGGGTATGTTTTTATGATGAAAGTGTATAAGTTCTTTCCAGCTTTCTGTTTTCTGAGTTGCTTTTCTGCTATAGCATACTTCTTACTGAAGAGATTAAACCATTTTTAAGCATTAAAAGGATTATCTATTAA